GGGGGTTGGGGGAGGGGGGAGGCGGAATGTGTTCTCAAGAGGGGCTACCCTTTACTGTAGGTCGCCCACTCGTCTTGACCGCGAGCATTGTCAAGACGGCACAACATTCTTTCGAGCCTAAAAATAGAGACGCCGAAGCGAAGTGGGTGATGATGATGGCCCTGCGTAGTGATGGTGCACAGCCCTTTACGTCTGCTGCAGGTGATACACTCGTTGACCGTTTGGCTTTGTGAACGGAGACTACACAATATTACGCTGTTATCGTTCGAGTAGGTCTTGGGTACCCACAAACGACCACTGGTTGGTCTACGTCGCCCTGAAGACATCGGTCACTCGCTGAATGAAGCTTTTCGCATTGTTGTACTCATTCCGACGAAACAAAAGAGAAGCAGGAGGGGTGAGGTTGTTTTTCTTTCCGTTCGTCACAAACAAAACGTCTTTCGTACTCGAGAGAGCGTCATTGAAGCCGCTAGAACAGCTGTGATGAACACGACGCCCGCGGCGGTACTGAGTAGACACAAGCAGCAGCTCAACGTAGCCATCGCAATGAAACAAGGGAGAGGGGTCTGTATTTCTTGTTTTTTGTGTCACCGCCTCTCTTGGTGAAAATTATCCTGTGCAGCAGGATCTTAGGACGGGAGGGCATACATTTTTGGGTCGAAAATGAGGCTACGGTGCGCGCCAGGCATGGGTACTGATGCGTACAGTTTCACGCGTCTGGGTGCGAGACAAAATTAATAGACGTTTCAGTCAGGAGAGGCTGTATAGTAATGTCAACGAGATGGTTGGGGATATGTAGGGATATAGGGTGGGAGACCACGGCGACATGTATTGGTATGGAGAAGGGTAGCTACGAACTTTTGATGCGCCGTGTGGTAAGTAGCTGTTGTTGTCGTCGTCGTCACATTAAAAACCGTTCCGATCTCTCCACCCAGTACCTTCATCTGTCCGTACTGATCAAACACTTGACCGGTCGATTTCCGTTGTCACAGGCCACAACTTACCCAAGGTGTACTCAACAAAATGGACCCGAAGGGTCCTCAGGCCAATTGAAATCAACTATTGTACAGATAGTCTGGAGCCCTCCGCTCCCCTCTACACGCGATGTGGGTTAGAAATGAAACTGGAAGCCAACATCACAGGCCAGAGAGAGAGGTACATCCCCTGGTTCAATCGTGGTACTTCACAGAGAAAGAGAGAAGGCCATCCCGGAAAAAATAAGAAAAGACAAAAGAAAAAAGAAAAATAAAGAAACAGAAGGAGACAGAAGATAAAAATACATACACACGCCACAGCCATAGCGGACAAACACAATCGGGGCTACCGGCGCAAGCAAAAGCTTGTCATCAATCGTGGGGGGTTGGTGCAATGGTGGAGGCCTTCGGCAAATTATTGCTTCATGTCTCCTGCTCAGCTGCCGGCTGCTCTTTGCCCCCCCCCACCCCCACTTTGTGTTGGGGCCTTGCCGACAAACAAACTCAAGTCCGCAAAACATCCCCACAGAACATGTACCGGATATAATAAAAAACAAACGCGTCATTCCAACTTAGCAAAACCTTTAACAGATACATCACCCAACGCACCCACCACTACCCTCTCACACCGCTGTGCTGCACATACACACCTCGCACGGACATAACCGCCGGGAGGCCTCTATGGCGCTCTCAAACCACCTACAGTAATCTCTTTCTGCCACATTTTTGTTCCACGAGCAAGAACGGGGAGAGCGACCGATGATGCTTCCTTTCGACAAACGACTAGACTAGGGAACCCCAGGCACGTATTGTGCTGCATGCAAACACGATTCACACAAACGATCGGACAGTGAATATATTGGTCCCTCAAGCTGGGAAAGGGAAGAACACTGGCCCGCGCGCAAGACAATCATGCACGAGCGGGGCACCTCCACCACGCAAACTTTCAACGAGGATGGACAGATCAATCCAGAGACCAAGAAGAGGCCGACCGCGCACGGCACCTGTTTAGTAAAATAAACCAGCTTGCCAATGCACAAACTACCACCACGACCACGACCTCAGCTCACCCACAACGTGTTCGTTCCAAGCGGAGGGTGTGCTCGGAACAGAAAAACATAAGAAAACCACAGCAGTAGTAGGACTGCGGCATTCGCATCCAGCCCCGTTAGGTTTTCCTCGGCCTGACTACCACGCACCACTCGACAGCACAAGTAATGCAAGAAACAACGACAAGAACTCCTACCGACGACAGCAGACAACGAAATGACCAGCCACCACAATAGAACATAGGGTACAAATGACCCGATCGATAGATGCTGGGAAAGGAACGCACATCCCACATCCGTCTGCCGAACACATCAATGGTCAGGGCGACACGAACACAATACACCAACCGAGAGACAAAAGCCTACGTCAACGAGTGTGTGAGACGATATCTACGTACAGCTGCTGCGTGTTGACCCCTGTCCAGTGACTGTCCAGGTTCTCTCTTGCTTTCGGAGGGGCTCCGTCAACAGCATGGTCGGCCCCGCCCCACCCCCCGCCACCCCTTCACACGAGCCCTCGGTGTGGCGCCTGCCCATGAGGTGGAAACCCCATACAGCAGCAGAGCTCCGTTTCATGAAGCATAGTGATGCGACGGTTTTATCATCAGAAGAACCCCCCGCCCCCTCGTACACGAAACTTAAAAACAGACCCACGGCACAAGCAAAAACCGCTGGCACACGCAGAGAAAGAACAACAACGAAACACGCACACATGTAAACCCCGTCGCCCCGACAGTTGACGAACATCGTAATAAATCACCCCCCTCCCCTCTCTCCAGATGATGTGCGGCAAATCTGAAATCCACATGGGACGTTTCTGCACCTGTTAGAAAGGGGCAGCTCACCTCACGCATATAGAACATACCACGGCAAGTCACAACGCAAGGTAGACTGACACTCAAGCTCACGGAGTTTTCCTCCCTTCCTCCTTCCACCCCCCTTACCGACGTCTGTTATCGAGCTCTTAACGTATTGTACACCGTCGGGCAGGGGGGGGGGGGGGGGGGTCTATCGGCGGCCGGTATTCCAGCCCTCCGCGCATTCTAAACGCACACACGCATTCTATCGACTCCGTCGACGCCCCTCGTGATCCAGCTCTGTACCTTATCGAAACGCCACCACTATAAATGCTGACACACAGACCGACAAAAAAACAACGATTAATCAAGACAAACGAGAATTAATTACGCTTTTTTTTCCCCCTCCCCTCGATTCTTACACACGACCCCTGTATACAGGCAACACTTGGAAAAGTGTGCGTGTGCGCGCACGTGACAGACAGCGAATGACGGTCTTAGGGGTGGTGCTGTTACCGTATCTCCGTTCGCCTGTTTTTTTCCGAGGAAGAAAATTGGATTGTCGGCGGCTAGATACCACCCTCCCTCGACCAGCAGCTTGGTTCTCGGGCCACAGGCGACGTGTGAAGGCACCAACACAAAACGGTACCATAGGACCATACAGACAGATGGTAGATACCATGGTACGACGGTACGGTACTCCCACGGTTGCCATGCAGCTTGGTCATCGTCGGCCGGTTTGCCCGACCTCCATCAACATCTCATCGTCCCGCACCACCTGGGCCGCCCACAGCCGGAGCATGCTGACGGACACAGCCGGGGTTGATTCTCCCCTCTTTCCGTTCTTGTTGTTGGTCCGGTGGTGCACAAGAAAATTCTCGAAACGCTCCGCGGGGAACACCTGTGTGTGTGTTTTTTTTTAATTAATTTTGGTCCACGCGGAACAAAAAAAGGAATTTTCAGCACCGCTTCGATACGTTATCTCAAGTTTGTTTACTGTTGTATTTCGAACACGAAGTACACATCAAGCCGGTTCTTCCATCCGTCGCCTTTTCATCCTCTTGCCGCCCGTATTTGTCTTCGTCCATCCATCATTTCTCGACTGAATAAACTATTCGACGGTCATCAGCCATCCTCTAGGCTAAACTTGGGGGGGCTAAGCTAAACTCACCTTGGTGGTGTGGCACGGCGGGGAAAACATCTCGAGGCTGCCGCTGAACTTCTCCACGAAGGGAACGGACGACTGGCCGGTGTATCTCAGGTACTGGCACTGCCGACAGAGGTACTTGAGCTGCTCCTGCGTCGCCATCCAAAAGCCCTGCGTCGTTCGTTGGGCGCCATCGTCGTCGTCGTGTCGTCGTGTCGTCGTCGTCGTTGTTGTTGTGGTGGTGGTAGTGGTGGTGGTCGCAGTGTCGGGGGACAACAAATTACGACGGAACTTTGTGAGGTGCGAGCAATGTGCTGCTGGTGATGGCGATGGAAGACGTCACGGCAACAAATCCAGAAGAACAACTGCTGTTTAACGCCGGGAGTACACTATGCTGTGTGAACCAACCGGCTACAGTAATAGTACACACTGCTGTCGTTGCAAACCACGGTCCGGAGTTGGCGAGGGGAGAGGAGGGAGGGTGAGAGGCTAACCAAGAATAACCGCTGCCGCTCAACAATTTCGAAACGAAGGGAAATAACCGTTGAGAAACAAACACCACACATTATCGGCCCTCTCTGTCGTTCCATTTTCACGAAGGTGTTCATATAGTAAGTTTATTACACCAAAAGACCAGGCAGGGGGCACGTAGACTGTAACCCTAACCCCAACTTCGCCGATTCGATATATACTTCATCCATCCAGGATGTTTGCTTACTTAAAAAAGACCTGCGTAGACTATGGCGTTTCCTCCACACACGCGCGCACCTGGTTGTTTCCGCTGAACGGCAGCACCCTCGACTTCTCAAGGCCCAGGTACGTGCCTGCTCCCACCACGTGTACTCCCCGAAACCTGCCACCACCCAACGTGTTCCGCACGAGCGAAAAGGGACAATGGATGGGGAGTGAGGACAAAGAGTTCAGAATGTAGAGGTTTTGCCTAGGCATTAGTCGTCAGTATCGTCACAAACCACACGCGAAAAAATGAGTCCGACACTCGCCATTTTCTTCCGTCAGGCGGGTATATACGCAGCGCGGTCGATATGCCCATTCAGGACGCACACACACGTACGCACACGTCCGGAGATACATGGCCTAGGTCCCCCTGCGACCCTCCCCCTGACGGGACCCCAAAAAATCATGACTTTGCACACTGGGACGGAAGCCGTTCATTCCATTGGTCAGCCGGCTATCACGGTCGAAGCTAAGAAAAAAGACGTACGCACAAAACACGCCGCTTAGCGCGGTCGATGCCACGAATCAAGACACACACGCGTACATCAACGCACACCTGCTGAGGATGATCTCCCACTCGAACCATTCACCCCCTACCCCGGTCGCCCCTGGCTCCGGCTCAACGCGAACGAAGCCCGGCATGTAGTCGTGCATGGGCATTGCGCGCGGCCTGGTACCGATGCTGCAAATACGTTGCAGCAGCAGAGCAGCAGCAGCAGCAGCAGCAGCAGCAGCAGCAGCGGCGGCGGCGGCGGCAGCGGCACGTGTGCGACCGTTAAAAGCTGACTGATTGCGGCTGGGCGGCTGGGTTTTCACCGTGTAGATTGTTGGTAATGTAGATTGTTGGTGATGAGCACGCGAAAAACGCCTACGGAGACAACGGACGACGACTACAACTACTTTTGCTCGAATGGGTATGTAGACGACACGGCAGCGTTAGTGCCTGGAGTGCACACATGCTCGGCAAGAGCAGCTTCACTGGCCACTACGCAACCACGTTCACGCGTGCGTCAAAAGGTCCTTCACTGCAATCGTTCATTCTGCGCGGGAGAGAGTCCACGGGTTTTCCAAAACGTCTAGCCTCCTCTGCGGCAACGCCGTGAAGGGGTCTTGCACTATCATAGTGTGTGCATGCATTTACGTACGTGTAACACGCGTGTTGGAGGGCTCTCCCTGCACCTCGGGGTGCCTTTTTCTCTCGCCGTTTTATTGTTTGTCACAACACCGCGGTAGCAACGCAAGAGAGGAGGCATGCCCCGGAACAAGCGAGTGCAGAGGGCTAGAGACAGGACGGGGGGGGGAAGGGAGATCATCCGAGTTGGGCGTGACAACACTAACATTTCCATTCTCTTCTGCGTGCCCCTCCCCCCCGCGCAGAGGCCCATCTTCCGTCTCACGCGCTTGTACATAGGTATGTGGTATCTCCTAGCTCTCTCTCCACTCCCGGCAACTCCCTCTGACTACAAAAATCAATATGGTAGAAAATAAAGCAGCAGTGGCTGGGCTGGCACGGCCTTGAGGTAAAGATACCTCCTGCTCCCTTGTTCCACCGCGAAGGAACCTGGGCAACAGCTTGACTTGACTTGACTCACTTTCTGAGCGACAGTTTCTCCGATTCTTCCAGGTACTTGAGGATGTGGTTCACCGTCAAGATCATGTCGTCCTCCAGCTGGTTGGCGTTGGTGGTTGGTGGTGTTCGTCACGATGGAGGTAAATCATTGGTGGTGGAGGCGATAGTGGCGGCGTCGCAAACACACGCAAGCGTTCGTTTTAGTGTGAAAATTAGAATATTTGAACACCCTAAACGACGGCAACAGCAAAAATACATCGGTAGGTGTGCCTTCGTAGATATCTCGAGATTAGGCAGTGTCTCGTGTCTCACGACGGCTTCGTTTTTCCACTCTTGGACCTCGAAGGACACGCACATGTCGGCAACTCTTCTTGAGATCGCTGACAAAAAAGAAGAGTGTTCGAAACTCACCTGAACGAACAAGTCGTACTCCCTGACTCTCGGCTTCATATAGATTCGGTGCTGTCGTCGTAGTCGTAGTCGTAGTCGTGCGGTTGGTGTCGTCGTTGTTGAGCAGCAGTGACAACAAACGCAGCAAGGACGAGCGCAAGGGAGACAAAACGAGCAGGGTGCACAACATCAACACAAGAGAGCCGAGACGGTAGTGGGCGGATGGGGCGGATGGGGCGGAGGGGGGACATGCACTGGGTGTCCCTCGACACACGCCCCCCCTCCCCGCAGCAGGCAAATCACTGTCACACACGCACACGCTCTTGTAAAGCCTTATCTGCTGCTTGCTCACCTTGATGCTCAGCGCCTCCTTTATGCTGGGGGGGTGCTCCTCCAGGGTCAGCGTCACGGGCCCCCCTATTCTGCGGCACAACAGCCGGTCCGTGAAGAGCTCAACCTCCGGCTGCGCTTCCCAAGCTGATATCAGGTGCACGTGCGGTGAAAATCCCGCCTGCTCGGACGGTTAACGGTGATTCGTTTGTTCATCATCGGAGCCCTTCTTTTAAAACATTTTTGCGTGCCCTAGAGTCTAGAGTCCGCACCCCACAGGCATGTTTATATATTAATAGCATTGACCGCGCTAACGGGCTGACCAATAAAAAGATCTCAGTGCGGTTCAAAACACAAAATGCTTCTAGAGGCCATGACCTGGGACCTCGTGAGGGGGCGTCAGGGGGAGGCATTGCGTGTGCGTGTCTTCGCCCGATGTATTCTGGGGCGCCAGTCTCCACACGCCATCGGTAAAAGCTTGACGCACCAATCAGGGTCAAACAGGCAGAAACCTACCACTCGAGTGTTGGGAGTTTTTATGCTTCTACTACCATCCCCCCCTGCGGTGCCTGCCTTTCAACATGATAGACGAGAAGGGTGCAATAGTGCCTTCCCTGGCAGTGCACACGATCAACGTCATCGCAGAACTTCCAACATGTTCAAAGCTCTTCTCCTCCTCTTCCTCCTCCTCCTCCTTGACCCCCCTTCGTCTATCGTATTTTCACCAAAACGCCTTCCCAAAAACACTTGCACGGGGAAAAGGGCGTGATGTACTCATTGACACATCTTGAGTACCTCGCCGTCGACCACCCGACTACTTCCACAGACGACAAAAATACAGCAACACTACCCGTCTGCCCCCCCCGCCCCCCCACCTCGCAAGCCCCTCTGATCTCGTCCATGATCATCAACACGTAGTTCAGCTTGTCCACACCCTTCCCCCTACGCCCGAGCCTCCGCCCGCGGTCGAACGAGGTAACGACGAACAGGATGCTTGGCGCTTCAACCTGATCGGGCTGGCGTTGGGTGGTTGCACGTCGCGGAACACGCGGAGTGAGTGGAAAAGGTAGAAGTAGACGCGAAGCAGCGTATGCGCCGATGGTTGGGCGTGGATCTAGGGAGGTTGGTCGTGGGATATGTATGTGTACGGTGTGGGAAAAGAACGGACAGTTGGAACAGCCGCGGAGAGGGGCAGTGGCGGTGGCTGCGCATGCGCCGGAAGCGCCTCGATAGTTGTGATTGATGCTGTTGTTTTCACGATACATGTATGGAAGAAAAGGTGTACGCGGGGCTTGAGTGCGAAAAAACAAAATTTCCATGGGCCATACCCTGACCCCAAAACGTGGTATACACACGAACATATGCCTGACCCGTCACGACAAGTCCCACCACTCGAAACACGAAACAACGTGGTATCGAGGTAGGCATGAGCGACAACGCAAGGCACGGCAGCAACAAGAGGATACACGGGTTGGGGAACGCTCTCACTCGCCCCGCTCTTCGCCCGCCCCCCGAGAACCCGAAAGCAACGACTGCAACCTTCGTGCAAAGCACACTACCACACGTCGCAACAAAATTTCCCTCACAAGCCTTACACAGGCTTTCGTTAAGCGATAATATCCACAACTGTCACACTCCCACCACCGTTGGTACCACCGTTGGTGGTGTGGTCGCAAGAGCACAGTAACAAGACTTTGCGAGCACGGCCGCCTACCCGCGAAAGCAGCAGCAGCAGCAGCAAAGAGCAGCACCGAACGCCGCAGCGCTTCGCTCTTCTTACTGCTGTATGCGCACTCACAGTAGTAGCCGCCGTCGACGTGTTGTTGTCTGTTTTGTTATCGCCCCTAGCGGCGGCGGCGGCGGCAGCGCCGGAGACCGCGCCGACGGCGGTCCACTTGTCCGTCAGCCTCCGCATCTCCTCCGGCGCGATCGGCGGCACGTACGTCGCGCCCCAGAGCTCGACGCCCGTCTCAAGCCGGCCCAGCCGTTCTTCCAGCGGCAGCGGCTCGAAAGCAGCAACTTCTCCTCCCTCCATGTCCCCCTGCCCCGGCGGGGGTTCGTCCCCCAGCGCACGAAAGCCCCCCTCTCCCTTGCTTCCCTCCAATGGTTGTTTTTCTTCTCCTCCCCCCCCCCCCCGTCCAACGCCGGGGCCCCCAGGCGCTACGTCGTTCTCCCGGTGGGCGTCACCGCCCTTGTCCCTCTGCAGCGACCGGGTCGGGTCGCTGCTGCTGCTGCTGCGCGCGCGGCGGCGTGAACCTCGCGCGTCGTTGCCATCACCACCAGTACCAGTAGCAGTCTCATCACCCCTTCTAATCCCATCGGCAGCAGCACTCGCTGACGATCGCGCCTCTTCCGCCGTTCCTATCTGCGTCGCCGCCGCCGCCGTGCCCTCTTCCTGCTCGTCATGACCGCCGCCGCCGCCGTCGTCCGCCGCTCTCGCTGTTGCTGCCGATGATCCTGGTTGTAGACCCTGCGCCCCGCCGTCGCTGCTTGCGTTGCTACCGCTCTCCTCGTCGACGCTCTTGCTGCTTCCCGTGCCCGTCCATCCCTGCCGGATGTCCTTCGCGCGCGTTTCCAGCCACAGCTGGCGTTCTCGCTGGTGGACACCGTTGTGCACCGACCGGGTTCCGATGTCATCGCTGAGCTCGGCAAAGCGTACTGTTGATTAACCAAAAGGGAGGTGGGGGTGGATGATGGAAGTCGTCAGAGTGGGACGCACGACGAGCAGAAGCAAGGGGGCGGGGGGGGGGGGGGGGGGAACTTTGATACCCCCCTAAAAACCACGTATTGCGAGCATCCCTTTTTTTTTTACGGGGGCTACAACAAAAAGCAATGGAATATTTAAAACCCGGTTTTTATGCCCGGGGGCCCGGGTTGAAAAAAATTTACAGTTTCTTCCTGCAATTTTCCCGAAAGCCCGGGTAAAAAACCCCCCCCCGCTTTTCCCCACGTAGGAATGGGAAACCCGGGGAGGGAAGGGGAACCAAAAACTTTTTCCCCCTGGTT